CCAAAAAAGAATTTTAATATTCTATTTCATTGTTTTCACATAGGGCCAAATATACTTGGACACGAGAAAAAAAGATCTAGATGTTGACTGAAAACTGTCATTCATGAACATTTTTGATAAAGCAAGTGTGAACTTTCTTGAATAGATTTATACTGAATCAATCAAAACTACCTCTTTCAATACCTCACTTCAATTATCATTGAAGAGGTCTACAGTGTTCATTGTTTCTAACAACAGTGAGAACTTTACCTGTGCAAATATTATATATTGAGGACCACAGAGGCACATTAACTCAATAAACCCTCACAAAAATCCCAGGATTGTTATCCCCATTTTACAGACGATGAAATTGAGTTCATAGAAGCTAAGTGACTTGCCAAAATCACAGAGTATTTACCAAGATTCAAACCTTGGTCTAGTAACTGTAAAATCTATGCTCTTAATATTTTATGCCACAATTGCTTTTCCTACTCTTATGATTTTAACAGCATGGCCAAAATGAGATTTAAAAAAATGAATCATCAAATATATTCCACAGAATTTCTAGATTCTACATAGCAGAATAAGGTCCAGGAGAGATCAAAGTGATAACCGTAAGAGCAAGAAATTTCTAATTACAAATCTTCAATAAACTGACAAAGAGTCTATCATTAAATAAACTTTAAAACACAATGCTAAAGATGCTACTATGTAAGTATCACACAACTGCCTTCTTTTACTATCTTTTCATATATTATATTTTGAAATACTGTTCGTTTTTCAAGGCCAGTTACATCATACCCACTTTTTGGAATACTAACAGCATCAAACACCTGGAATATGGTGTTCATAGTTGTTCAACAACAAAACTTGCTGAATAAATAAATGTCAATTGACTCAGAATAATTTCCTCTATATTAGAAAAAAGCCATCAGAAATAATTAGAAAATCTTACATCCTAATAAATGGGATTTCAACTATTAAAGGAGATTCAAAAGCTTGAAAATTTTCCTTAGCTGATTTGACTACCTGAAATATTAGTTGCATAAATTTTGCACGATTGTGGGTGTTCATATGAGAATTTTAAATGATGTTGCCCAATCAAAGAAAATATTAACAAAGATAATATGGGATTCAAGTGGTCAGAGAAATGGGAGGCTAAAAGACAATTTTGGGAAAAAGTGATAAATGTGTTCTATTAATAAAAATTTTTCTAAATGTTATGTCATAGACTCACAACAAAGCATTAGGAAAAGCAAAACCCCTTTTAAACATCTAAAGAGGAATTTTCTTCTCTTCCCTATTTTGTTTAGCAGTGAGTGACCTATACTTGAGCTTCAGTTCTAAATATACACAGGACAGCCATTGTGCACAGAAAGCTCACCCATGGAAAAAAGAAATCTCAGCTGATAAGTGTGGAAAGGAAGCCAGGCATTAGATGGTAGATTAGCAGAACAGAATGGCCTTGAAAGAATATTTGAAACAAAAATGAATAATGTAAACTCTACTGCAAATGTAACATATACATGTAAGCCAGCAGGTATGCATGGGGTGGTGCCCAAAGATCTGTACATACAAATAAGAATGGAAGAAGCAGAGAGATTAAATTTCACTTTTGTGATTTAATCCAGAAGTCAAAGTTATAATCTTGGAAGTGTCACTGATAAGGCCCATGCAAATGAAATATGGTAAATTTATCATCTGTGTTGATGACACACTGAGAATGTGTTAATACTTCCTTTGTTCAAGAACACAGCGTTTCCTGAAAAGTTAAGAAACTTGAAGTTAAAGCCCTTGGTAAACTATAAAAAACTGAAGAAATTATGAACCATACAGATGCATGTGTCTATATGTGCAAAACATCTCAGAAAGTAGAACCATTATAACCAAAAGTGAACTATCTATTATTTAAGGTTTTGCCCCTAAACAAGCTAAGGAACCAAGTCTCATTAACAGCTTCACTGTCAATTCTATTTCCATTAATGAGTTGTTGTTGTTAAGTGCCGTCAAGTCGTTTCCGACTCATAGCGACCCCATGCACAGCAGAACGAAACACCGCCCGATCCCACGCCAGCCCCACAAATCCCTGCTATACTTGAGCCCATCATTGCAGCCACCATGTCAATCCATCTCATTGAAGGCCTCTCCCTCTTTCGTCGACCCTCCACCCTACCAAGCATGACATCCTTCTCCAGGGAATGGTCCCTTCTTACAACATGACCAAAATAGGTGAGACGAAGTCTGGCCATTCTTGCTTCCAAGGAGCATTCCGGCTGCACTTCCTCCAGGACAGATCTGCTAGTTCCTCTAGCAGTCCATGGTACTTTCAGCATTCTTCGTCAGCACCACAACTCAAAAGCATCAACTCTTCTTTGGTCTTCCTTATTCATTGTCCAGCTCTCACATGCATACGAGGCAATTGGAAATATCATGGCTTGTGTCAGGTGCACCTTAGTCCTCAAGGAGATATCATTGCTCCTCAGCACTTGAAACAGTTCCTTTGCAGTTGACCTTCCCAATGCTACACGTCATCTAATGTCCTGACTGCTGCTTCCGTTGGCATCAATTGTAGAACCAAGCAACGTGAATTCTTTGACAACCTCAATCTTCTCTCCATTTACTGTGATGCTGCTCATTGGTCCAGTTGTGAGGATTTTTGTTTTCTTTATTCAGCCCCAGGGTTAAAGGTGAGGAGAGACAACTCAGGGACACCCAAAGTAGCAAGGGGGAAGAGCAGGAGAAAGGGGATTAAAACCCAGGAAGCCAGAGAGAAGAGCAATCAGCTGAAGGGATTAGGTGAGGAGACAAACTCAGGCCCGCCCAGAGTAGCAGGCCGGAAAAGCAGGAGAAAGGGGATAAAAGCCAGGAACCCGGACAGAAGAGCAGTCAGCCCCAGGGTTACAGGTGAGGAGAGACAACTCAGGGACACCCAAAGTAGCAAGGGGGAAGAGCAGGAGAAAGGGGATTAAAACCCAGGAAGCCAGAGAGAAGAGCAATCAGCTGAAGGGATTAGGTGAGGAGACAAACTCAGGCCCGCCCAGAGTAGCAGGCCGGAAAAGCAGGAGAAAGGGGATAAAAGCCAGGAACCCGGACAGAGGAGCAGTCAGCCCCAGGGACAACTCAGGGACGCACAAAACAGCAGGGCAGAAGAGCAGGAAAAAGGGGATTAAAAGCCAGGAAGCCAGACAGAGGTACAGTCAGCCACAGGGACCCAGGTGGGGGTGATACGAGAGGTCTCCAACAGCAAGACAAACTTACTTGTCTGTTGGTTTGTCCTACTGTGGTGACATGTAGACGTGAGTTTTGAGGCTGAGCCTCTGGTGTTTAAAACCCAGCAAGATGCACCTGGTGCACAGGTAACAGCCCAGCTTATAGACTGAGACACACTAGGAAGAAGGAAGAGGCCGTCCACTTCTCAAAGAATTGGCCAGAGAAAACCATTAATGGGTAGTCAATTTATTTCAGAGACCATTTATCTAAAGGTAGTTCTTCATATTTTAATAACAGAGGGAAGGAAGGTAAGCCATGATTTGAGTAAAGGTGTGAAATACATACTTCACTAATACAAAAGAAAAGAAAAATAGCAGATCTTATGAAAGTTTTGCTTTTTTCAGGCAAACATAAACTATTGAATCCTGCTAAAGGATTGTGTAATACAGAACAGTGAGAGATGTCAATAGACAATGGAAACAAAAAAAGGAATTTAAAAATTGTTTTTAGCAAAGATGATGACAAGAAAGTTGGAAAGTTACAAAAATTTAGAGTTTAACTAGAAAAATAATCAAAGCACTTAATATTTTCTCGGTGCTTTGGCTTCTTATCACAGTATTTACCCTACTTCACTAATTACGTTAATTCCATTTGTTTACCATTTTTCATTTAAAATTCAGGACAAAGTCAGTTGGGTTTAACAACAGCTCACATAAGCAAGATTCCATCTCACCTAACTTAACCTACCAAATAATAGATACTTCTGATGAACTTCTATCAAGAGTTCTACTTAGCCAGGGATCATGGACAAGGCGGGAATTTGTAGAAAAAGGTGCATCAGCAAAACTAATGGGAGTTCAGTGTCTCGTGTGTCCATTTCAATGAGGCAAACATTCAACAGTTCTTTGCAGCTGGGACTCCTTTCATGGGGTTCTACGAGAGCTCACTCAGGAGTTCAGAAGACTCAGAAAAGAAAGAACTCCTAACAAACTCATACTCTTTATCAATAATGTAACCTGCACATCCACAATGAAAGTGTGTAATTAGCATTTGCTCAGCAAATGCTTATGGAGCTCTAGGGATACTAAAACAAGTAAGATAGGCCCTACTCAGACAAAGCTCACTCACAGTCTAAAGGGTGAGAAAGAAATGACCAAATAAATAAATAATAATAATACAACAAAGTAAGTGCTGCTGCCCACAGAAGCACAGATAAACCTCCTTTTTGACAGCAAAACTACAAATAAGTGAGGAAATACAAATTTCAACGTATAGTGATTGTAGTTACATGATAACCAACAATTCAGAGAAAAAGCAACTTAACTAAAAAGCAACAATGAAAATTATAAAATTCTCAAAATAGCAGGTCACTTCTATTGTTCAATAAAAGCATGCTCCATAAACATATTAACAAACACATTTACTAATTAAACTTATTATATTACTTTTTGTATGCACATTCCTAAAGCTGTTTAAAACCCCTAATGCCCTGAGTCCAGCCAGTGACTTAACTTAAGCCACTTGATTTCTACTCCTATTTGTACTGTTAGGTGGAGGCTCCTTGTCTTTGCTCTTTTGTTACTCTGGACAGCAAACATGTCACAGTGACACAAAGAGCTATTAGCAACAATAAAGCCTATATTCATAATTGTTTTGAAAATACAGAATTCTAAATTAAGCCAATAACAATAAAATGATTTAAAATGCATAAAAGAAACACTAGAACATACATACAAAGAAAAATCTAATTATAAAATGGAGGGCTTTAAAACAAAACAAACAAAAAGGTACTTCAACATTATAAACTTTACCTTTTTGTGGGTACAGGAACCAGTATCATGTAGTACTGCCACTCTGAACGGAGGCCACCATGTGTGAAATTCTTTCACCCACTGATGCATCACTGTTGTTGGACAGACAATTATAGTTGGACCTAACCCCTCGAACCTGCACCCAAAATGTTCAAGAAGAAAGTACAACCATGAAAGATAGTAGTATATTGAGTGATCATGCCCTTCTCCTTCCACCCCCGCCAAATATCTGAACAGCTCAATAAAGGAAATGCTAGCTATGGAAATTTATTGGTATTGCCTTTAAAGAAAAAGCTTTTAAGGTTAAAACAAAATAAGTGAACTCTCTATAATCCCATTCATCAATTACAGATGCAGGTACTCAGAGAGAAGGCATTAAAAGATACCATCTAAGGTAAAGAAAATCAAACAAAAATTACTTTAACAAAAATACTTTTCTCTCCTCGTCTATTCCAGATTAGTGAAGTTATTATACAGTGTATCTCAACCTACATGAACATAAGAATAGCTTAAATTTGTTTGAAGCTTTATAGTCTACCCCAAGTTTCACCTACAGAATTTTAGTCTTCACAGCCCTGGGAAGCAGGAGGCTAGGATTCCTGTGTGTGGGTAGCGTGCCTGAGGTGCTGTGGCTACAGGTGGTAAGCAATGACCAGGCACAGTCCTCTCCCCACTGCAGCCTGCTCTCTGGCTATACTGTGCTGCTGCTTTTCCTCCATATGACCAAAGCCCAGGGGCATTACAATGACTACTCTCTGATGCAAAGTCCACACAGAATGCTGACTGGTATTATTCCCATGGAAAGCTATATAGTGCAAGAGCTTCAAAAACAATCACAGGGTGATCCAGAAAGCCTAATGCAAAGACTTACATACCAGGATACACATTGCAGCATTATTTACACTATAGAAAAACTAGACCTCCAAGCCCATAAATAAGCAAACAGTTGAATAAACTATACCACTGCTTTAAGATAGTATAGGGTAGTATGAGCTCTGACCTGGTTAGAATTCCAGCTGCTGTACACACTAGCTATGTGATCTTGGGCACATTATTTAACCTCTCCTAACTTCCTTTTCTCATCTTAAAACAGGAATAATAACACCTATTAAAGGATTAGGGAGTCCTGGTAGCGTAGTGCCTAAGCCACTTGACTGCTAACCAGAAGGCTGGTGGTTAAAACCCACCAGCCACTCTTCTGAAGGAAGATGGGGCAATCTACTTCTGTAGTGATACCGCCTCAGAAACCCAAGGAGGGGTCGCTATGAGTCGGGTCCAACTTAACAGCATATAACAACAACATTATTACAGGATTAAGGCACTCAGGTGGTGAAGTGATTAAGGCATTTGGCTGCTAACCACAAGGTCAGTTGGTTCAAATCCACCAACTGCTCCACAGAAAAAAGATGAAGCAGTCTGCTTCTGTAAAGATTTACAGCCTTGGAAACCCAATGGGGGTCAGTATGAGTTGGAATCAACTCAATGGCAGTTATTATAGGATTATTATGAAGACTGAGTCATTTAATATCAAGTGCTTAGAATAGTGCTTGCTATATAGTAAACAGCAACGTAAGGTCTGTTAAATATGATGGAGTATTATATAACTATTAACAACAGTTTTTAAAGTATATTTAATGACATGCAGAAATGTTGTAAGTTAAAAAAACAACAAAGATTTATGGAATCACCTCAATTCACAGATACATAGATAGATCAGTACACTTTCAGGCCACTATCTCAACATCCACACCTCCCCTTTTCCCTTCCTTACAAAGTCACACATCTGTGTAGTATCCCACCTCTTTCCCACAGGCATGTGCTTTATGTAACTCTGACCACGGTCTGGCTAAGGGAGAAGGGGAAAATAATGGTCCATGTAAAGCCTTCCAGTGACTAGTATTCTCCTAGTAACAATTACCAGTCAATGAAGCTTTAATGGTCACTGGGCAATGGGCCTACAGTGGCAAAGAGATCTTATCACAAGGAGACCTGGCCTCAGGAGGAAATTAAAGTACCTGGACCCTTGATGGCATCATTGAGCTGCTGATTATGTTGCCTCTACAGTCCACCTTTTCTAAGTTTCCTGCATTATAAATTTAATTTAATCCAACTTGAGGCCAAGCTAGGTACAGACCCTAATATCCAAATACATTATACACCACAGATACCTGTTTAAGTCTGCACTAATCATCCTTCCCTGTTACAATGGAACAAGTCCCTTTTCATGTCTGAGATCAATTCGTTATCTAGGTTCATGAGCCCTTACCTCCACTACATCAATGTTCCCATGACCTTTAACCACTTTGTCTTCCAGCTTGCTGAGGTTTGGATGCTAGTCATTGCATAGATGAAAATTAAACAGAAGTCAAAACAATTGGTGGAAGATGTGAGTAAGAGCCACTGGGAACCAAGACTTACTGAGGCAGTCAGGGCTCGCATAACTTGTCCCTTTCTCATTCTGGAGCAGCCACTGGCACTCTTTAAACTGTCATACTCCCCCACCCCTACCTTTTCTGGCCAACAAGTATGATGAATATGTGACATTAAATGTACATATACTACTCCACTGTTCACATTTTGCAAAGTTTCAACTACTCATTAATTATCTCTTTAACACCCAAAGTTTCAATTACTATCTACACAATGCTGTTGTTGTTGTTACGTGCCATCGAGTCAACTCCAACTCATGGTGACTTTAAGTATATAAGAACAAAACATTGACTGGTTTCATGCCATCTACTGATGGTTAAATCTATATATGGTGTAGTGAACTACTTGGTATGGTTCTTCTAGGTCTTTGTGACTCCCACCAGTTATTGGATGGAACTGAAAATGTGTAGTGCTTTGGAGCCAACACCAAGGAGACTGGATAACTTGTTGTTGTTGTGTGCCGTTGAGTCATCCCCGACTCACAGCGACCCCTCCTTGGGTTTCCGAGGCGGTATCACTATGGAAGTAGATTGCCCAACCTTCCTTCCGAGGAGTGGCTGGTGGGTTTGAACCACCAGCTTTCTGGTTAGCAGTCAAGTGCCTTAGGCACTATGCTACCAGAGCTCCTGGATAACTTGTTAGTAATGTAAATAAGGTACATGGCACTCTTGTGGGGGTGGAACTATGGAAATAAGGTATATGAACCCTAATGTGTGCATTGGTCAGTTTTGTCATTCCACTAGGCTTAAAATGAGCCCTCCCAGAGGCACAACACATACATACATATTCACTGTCATCGAGTCAACTGCAACTCATAGCGACCCCTCCTTGGGTTTCCGAGGTGGTATCTCTACAGAGTAGAGCCCAACCTTCCAAGGAGTGGCTGGTGCATTTGAACCGCCAGCCTTCTGGTTAGCAAGAAAGAAGAGCCAGAGGTGGAGTGGACTGCATCCTTGGACCTGAGATTCCTGCTCTGGACCTTCCTGGCAAAGAGACTGGCAGAGAGTTGGCAGACAGATGGCAGAGAGATGGTAGCAGTAGAACAAAGAGACCAGCATGAGACAGAGCAACAGGCTGGCTGGCAGAGTAGGGATGCACCTAGCAGCATTAAAAGAGCTTTGTAACACTTGCCAGAGCAGGGTGAAGGCCAGGCTGAGACCAAAGGGAGGTGTGCCTTTGGCCATGGTCAAAAGGAGGCTGTCCTAATTGAAGAACTGTATCCGAGTGCTCCTGAACATGAATTGTAACCTGTTACTTCCCCAATAAACCCACAATTGTTGAGTATTGTGAATAGAGAAGTAGACAGTGCTGTAGGAAGGACAGTTAATATCAGAATTGGTAAAAAGGTTAGAGGTTGGTGGCATGTCTGAGCTCATAGGACTCAGCCTTGGGCCACTGCTAGTGATTTCGTCTCCCCCTTGTGAAGTTAAAGGGTGTCAAAAGAGTAAGCAACCCCCATGCTCTTTTTGCACTATGCATCCAGCCCAGATCTATTTCCTGAACTACCAACTAATCACATGCCTATATATCTAACAGCCAGCTAAAAGGCAACAAACATCATTTCCCTACTCCTTGCCCTCTGTGTTTCTTAATCCAATGAACAGAATTGTCACCCATTCCGTAGGTCCCCAAACTGGAAATCTAAGCCTCATCCTTGTCCCTCCCCTCTTGATCTCTATTACATCCAACATATACCTAGTTCATGCCACTTCTACCTCCCAAATCCCTCTCAAAGTCACCCATGTCTCTCTACTTACACTGTCATTATTCCAGTTCAGGCTACAATCATCTTGTCTGGATTACTGCGACTTCTTGCAATGTGCCCTACACAAATCACTTTAAAAAAGAAATCTGAATAGCTCATCCCTAAAACCCTTCAATGGTCATCCATTTCTCTTGGGATGGAGTATATCACCCTTAACCTGGCCTATGAGACCATGACCTCTGCTTACTTCCTCCAGCCTCACCTCTATCACTTGTCCAATCCCACCACTCACACCCATGATTCAGCACCATCAACTTGAACTTTCGTCAGTTCCTAGAAGATGCCTACTACTCTGGCTTTTCCTCTTTTGCTTTGTTTCTTCTTAGCCTCTTATCTTAGCTAACTTCTTACCCTTCATATCTCAGTGGAGATGTAACTTCCTCCACATAGCCTTCACTGTCCCTTTCTCTGCAGGTGGGTTAAGGACCCTTCCTGATGTATTCATGCTAACTAGTGCCCTACATCAGCCCTGTCATATCACGGAGCACCCTTATTCTAATTGTTTGTTTAGATCCCATCTGAGCTCCATGAAGGCAGAGACAGTCTTTTCTTGATTTCAATGCCTAGCCCACAGTACCTTAAATGTTAAAAATTATCTTCTGCATACCTGAAAAATCACCTGTAATTCTAATAGAACAACAGTGAAATTTTAGTCAAGCTGTATCTTAAATAAGGCTTACCCTTATACTATGTCCAAAAGGTAGCTACCCCCATGCCTTTGGTGACTCCAATGTGAGAAAATGCCTCCACCCACTTCTAGATTCTCTCCATCTCTCACCTGCAGCCATGGCCATTCACTTTGCTTATTAGAAAGAATCTAGATGATAAAAGGCTAGAGATTACAGGAGATGATTACATGATTCTCACCAAGGAGTAGGGAATACACTAAAGTGGTCTTATGCAAACATTACCTCAAAGTTCTCTAGAAAGTGCAGTGACTTGGTCTTACCCCCTTATGTGATAATACTCCTTTCTGAACAAGGATTAAATGGACTAGCTTCTCAATGCCCTCAAGGAAATAAGAGCGGTATCGTCAATATGTAAGAAGCACTGGTGGCATAGTGGTTAAAGTATTCAGCTGCTAACCAAAAGGTAAGCAGTTCAAACTTATGAGCCGCTCTGTGGGAAAAAGATGAGGCAGTCTGCTTCTAAAGATTTATAACCTTGGAAACCCTATGAGGCAGTTCCACTCTGTCCTAAAGGGTTGCTATGAGTTGGAATTGACTAGATGGCAGTAAGCTTTTTTTTTTTTTTTTTTAGATCTTCAATATGCACTTAGCAGGGATTAGGAAACAACCAATAAAAACCATCTAAAAATATATAAAAATAAACTCACACTCCAGTATATATTCAAACATACCTATCTACTCCTTACTTACTTATATACTTAGGTTCCAAAGACTACATCATTATGTGAAAACTGGCGTTTTTCGAAAATGGAGGATGATCACATGAGAACACAGAATGGAGGATGACTGCATCATTACATAGCAGCCAAATTATATCATTACATAAATTGGCAAACCATTGAGAATCATGGCCCAACCAAGCTGACACATAACCTTAATCATCTCTCTCCTTGGACCTAGGCATTCGTTACTTTCAGATGTACATCATTAATGCACAAAATAGCTGGATAGAGATTTTTCACTATTGTTGTAAACGCAAAATGTCAGATAATGAGCTAGTCAATGAGTGAAGAGTAGGTGTATGCTTTTTCAGGTCATACAGCATTCTCTCTCTCTTTATACCTTCTATAAACAATGATTATTCACACTTTATCATGTAAGGATGATATTTTAGTCTGGTTAAACATCTATGGGCATTATTATGCCCTTTAATTTATGCTGTTCTCACTCTAACATAAGAAAATACAAGGATTTTTATACTGAGTTGAATTTTAGGAGCAGACCTAGATTGCTCTTGTGCTACAACAAAGGTAATAAAGTCCATTAACAGTCTCATCAACTGAAGCACCCTTTCCCAACCCTCAATACCAATGAGTTGAGCATAAACAATGACTAAATGTAGTATAGTGATTAGCATCAACAACTAAACTGGCTACAATTCCTTTCATCTTTGATTATCATTGATTACCTAATGAATCTAGGCCAAGCCAATATCTCCATGGTCAAACATTTCAAAGGGCAGAATGGAAATCTGCTACTTACAGTCTAGAATTTAGCAGGAATTAAAAAACATTTTTACCTTTGAAAGTTTATGAGTTTTTTTCAGGCCACTGTGTCATAATTAGGAATTTACAAAATTATATCCAAGACATTAAAGCACTAACTAATGTCTGAAAGGCAAATAATTTATTTCTTCTTCATTATAAGATTCAAGGGACCTATCAATATAATACAGGAGCCTTGGTGGTGCAATGGTTAACAGCCTGGCTAATTTTTTGTAAGGTCTGCAGTTCAAATCCACCAGCTGGTCTGTGGGAGAAAACACATGACGATCTGCTCCCATAAAGCCTAGGAAACCCTATGGGACAATTCTACTTTGTCATATAAGGTCACTAATGAGTCAAAATCAACTTGACAGCACACTAACAGCAACAGCAATGTAATATGAATGAGAAAGTGAAAAGAAGGTAGCATATTAATTATGACCTGAGAACACAAAAATCAGCACAGATTTTTATTAACCATGTTGTTGTTGTTGCTACGTGCCGTTGAGTCAGACCTGACTCATAGCAACCCCGCCTTGGGTTTCCGAGGCAGTATCACTATGGAAGTAGATTGCCCAAACTTCCTTCCATGGAGCGGCTGGTGGGTTTGAACCATCAGCCTCCTGGTTAGCAGTCAAGTGCCTTAAGGACTATGCTACCAGAGCTCCTTTTATTAACCATATGTAATACATTTCTGGAAGTCCATGAGTGGTGCAAATGATCAAGTAATCTGCTGCTAACCGAACGGTTGGTAGTTTGAGTCCACCCAGAGGTGCCTTGGAAGAAAGACCTGGCAATCTAGTTCTGAAAAATCGTCACTGAAAATCGTATGGAATGCAATTCTACTCTGACACACATGGGGTTGTCGTAAGTCAGAACTGACTTGACAGCAAGTAGTTTGGTCTTTAACATGCTTCTACTTCCTTTTAAAACAAACATACACATAAAACATTCTTTTTCCATGAGACTTATTACCCTAGAGATCTAGACTGTTTGTCCTTAAAACTGTAAGACCAAGACCATTTTATATTGGATCCCAAATATCTACAGCTTGCAAGACTTTAGAGATACTGTACACAGCCAATGAAGCAATGCTAGCTTACACAGAGCTCACTGAACACCAAAGGCTGACATTTTCTTTAGGACATAAATGCAGAGAACTCCAAAATCATCTTGTTTCAGAGGAGGACATGTTATAAAATAGTTATAAAAATGTTATAAAATTTACTCTGGCACATTTAAGGAAAGCAACTAACCTCTTGAGTATACCCCTATGCATAAATAGCCCAGTTGTTTGGTTGATGTATAACCACATTTGAGAAGCCATTTCTACCAATACTATTTGAACAAAGATGATCTGGGCTATAATCCAACATGCCACAATATTTCATTATGGAAAAGAGGATATGAGCATGGATAGTTAATTGATTACTGCTGCTGTTCATTATTAGTCCCGCCTTCACTCCTACTAGGATTGTCACTACTCGAGAGAGCATGTTTTAATTTTTAGATCAAAACTACACTGCAGGGATGACTTTAGGTTTCCTAGGCCCAGAGTATTAGACTCCACACAAGTTTCACGATAACAGGAAGGGAAGGGACGAAAAGAGGTGGGAAATAAGAAAATCTCAGAAATCGTTTAAGGAAAGAAAGTCCTAGAAACCATCTGGGGCAGCCTGGGGCATTTCAGTTATGAAAAAAAAACCCCACGGTAGACTCATGGAAACCAAGCCAACCAAAGACTTATTAAGAATAGAGGAAAAATTTTTAAAATGGTAAACTAATGATAACCACAGATAAGAAAACACTAAATGTCCATTTTTAACTTTGACTTTTCCTTTGGGTTGGAATGTTTTCCTATGTTTCCAAGCAAAATATAATGGTATTCTAGTATGTAAAAAAAAAAAAAGAAAGAAACACTGCTTTTATACACAACTCCTTTGCAAATAACAACAAAGCATTTAGCATTTAAAATTTAAAATTATCCAAATGTTTTTTCCCTTTAAACAAACAAACAAAAAAACCCAAGCTCACTGCTGTCAAGTCAATTCGACTCATAGCAACCCCTCCTTGTGTTTCCGAGGCGGTATCACTACAGAAGTAGATTGCCCCATCTTCCTTCCAGTGGGTTTGAACTGCCAGCCTTCTGGTTAGTAGTCAAATGCCTTAGGCACTATGCCACCAGTGCTCCCTCTTCCCTTTACATCTATATAAATGCAACTTGGATTTCTAAAATATTCTTAAACTTCAAACTGTTTTCACACGTGTTAATCTGCTAAATTAATGAGAGGGTAAAAAATAAAAACAAACCCTAACCTATGAAGACTAAAATAATGTTCCTGGTCCTAATTTACACCCTTGTAGTTAGCATTTGCTCTCTGTTTATGAATTTGAAGAGTGGGTTTGCTTGCTACTTGCCAACTTAACTTCAGGCACATCACTATTATTAAAGGGGGTCTTCAAACCAGATCTAGTGAGTGGCTAAGGTTTCTACAACACAACAGCCTGATTAATATCTTGCTGTTACTTATTAGATAAGCCTATAAAAATTTAAGAAGCTCTTGAATTATCTGGATTCAGGAACAGATATTCTACATAATTTATCCAGTAATAGTTTTAAAAAAAAAACTGATTTATATAATTTATACTTTAAATATGGAGATTCTCACAGTACTTCAAGATAAGGTATTTCAGTCTTACCACATTTAATTAAATACTTACTATTCTGGAATACTAAAGCCCTGACAGTTTATTTAAATTACTAAAGAAAATAAATATTAAAATCTAAACATAGTTTTTTCTTTTTTTGAATAGCCATTTAGGCTTTGGCCTTGTTGTTGTTGTTATGTGCTGTCGAGTCAGACCCAACTCATAGCGACCCCTCCTTGGATTTCCGAGGTAGTATAACTACAGAAGTAGATTGCCCAATCTTCCTTAGTATTTACATAAAACTTTGAAAGATTTGGGGAGAGGAGTAAAAATCATACTGAGCAGACTACTTTAGAAAGTAACCTCATTCAAAAAAGGAACAAGAGCTATCTATAAATGCTATAATGAATACTGATTATAAAAGAAATACAAGAGAATAGCTTCTCCAAAGCTCCAACTTCCCCCATGAATAGACTTTGCACTTACTGTAATGCATACCTGGTTTCCTGCCAGAACAAATATTTTAATGTAAAATTTAATAAATGGAACAAAAGTTATTATGTCTAATTTAAAATTCCATATTGTGTAAACTATTGATATTAACATAATTGAGTTTGTAAACAATCCATTTGTAGAAGCTAACCTTAGACATCCTATTGACCCAAAATATCTAGTGGGGCTCATCTGCAAAATGAAGCATCAATGCCTGGAATTCATTAAAAGTGTTACATGTTTAATTTCTCCTGCCCTACAGCTCCATTGTCTCGTAAAAATTTTCCTTTGATGTCCCCCACTAAAAGAATTAAAGGAATATTGTAATTGAAATGTCATCAATAATTCACAAGACCCTCCTCCACAGCAATACATCTGATGAAATATTAATTGAGCTCTACAGACTGACAGTCTGCAGAGGAGCACTTGCCTGTAATTTGAACCACGAGTCCTGATCTTGCTGTAGCTCAGACCTGCCAAGAAGGCAATTATCTGAATGGTCTTGCCCAATCCCATTTCATCTCCCAGAATTCCTCCTGCCTGCTGGCAGTGCAATTCCCACAGCCACCTAACACCTGTCTGCTGGTACCTACAACAACAAACACCAACAAGAAAAAAAGAAAAGAGCAAATGTTGGATAATACAGATCATAACAGAAAGTACTCATGAATTAATCATTTGGCTAGGTTCTACTACCAGTCATTGCAACATGCTGGATGTGTGTTTTACATGAGTATTATATTTATAAGGTCATACATTTTTGATCACCTAGGCATAAAATCACAAATTTTTCTTTACAGAACATTAACACATTCTAATTAAACTGATAGATGGAGTAATTAGGAAGCTATTTCATTTCTTTTTCAATGTTAAAAAAGCTTGGTAAACAAGTATAAACTTACAATCTTTTATTCACTATCTTTGTGGGGGGAAAAAAATCCAAGTATTTTTTGTAAATAAAGTTTTGTTAATTTTTTCACATAAAAAGAGGCATTAATGTTTAGTTTTACAATCTGACTAGCATCAAAAGAGCCAGACAGAGGACATTACAATTTATAGCTTATACTGTTGAAAAGTAATCATATTATCCCATCATAAATCCTTAAATTTTAAGGTTATAAGCAATTCTAAATAATAGGCTAATCTCAAAATTAGTACATAGGAGATGATTCTGTTACATTACAGGCACATAGCAAAAAAAGAACAGTTAAAAGACTCACCAATATAAAATGAAATAAAAGTTAAGGAAGGTCTTTGAAAGCTCAACTTGAAAAGGCCTTTTTAATATTCTAAAGCAAAATTTGATTCAGGAACTCATCACAAATACAGAAAGGGCAGCACTATTAACATTTTAAATAAGGACTAAAGGTCGAAGAGAATATATTCACCTGTCTTAAAAATAAATAAATACCACAGGAACTGTTATTTTCCTTTCTCCATCAATAGCATCTTTAATCTATACCCCAAAAAGAAAATAAAGTTGTCATAATTAACAACATCCCCCCCTCCAGTATCTTGGAATTAATGCTAGAAGTCTGACTCTATTGCCATTATTATCTATCATAAAAGGAAAACAATGAATCTAAAATATGCCACTTATTAAATTTGCTAACTATAATATATACATTGGGCATGCACCTAGAGAAGAGGATTAAAAATCAAAACAAAACGAAGACTAGTATGGACAAAAGATCATTTAATTCAGGAAGAGCAGGTTCTATCAATATGTGGTATGTAGCCAGAGAATAATGGCTACCACTTAGGAGCCTATGGCCAGCAGGCACTAGGCCAAGTGCTTTGGATACAGCCTCACAAAAACCCTACATAGAGATTAACAGCCCATTTTATAGTTAAGGAAATGAAGGTTCAAAGAGGTTAAATAACTTGCCAATGGTCACACAAGCAGAAAAAATAAGCAAGCCAGAACTCAAATAAAGAATGCCTGGTTCCAAAGTTTACTTTGGATATAGTCTAAACCAGTAGTTTTCAATCAGGGGAAATTCTGCTCCCCATAGGAGTTTTGGCAATGTCTGGAGACACTTTTGGTTGCTACAACCGATGGGAGTACAATTGTCATCCAGGGGTAGAGGCCAGATGCTGTTCAACATCCTACAATGCACAAAGATAGTCCTCACAACAAAGAATATCCAGCCTAAAAAACAAATGTGCTGAAGTTAAGAAACCCTGACCTAAAACAAATGCAGGCTCAAAAACCAGGTACGTTGGAGTAATTTCAGCTTTGGAAAAACACCTAGTCTAAAAATCTCTCCATATCACCTCACCCCAGCACTAAGAACAAAAAAAAAAAAAAAAAAAAAAAAAAAAAAAAAAAAAAAACCAGAAAACAATAAATGCTGGCGAGGGTGTGGAGAGACTGGAACCCTCATAAACTGCTGGTAAGACTGTTATTGTGCAACTACTGTATAGTAATAGTATAGTGCTTCCTTATAAAGCTGCAAACAGAAATACCATATGATCCAGCAATCACACTACTACGTATATATCCAAGAGAAATAAGAGCTGTGACATGAACAGATAGATATATGCACACCCATGTACATTGCAGCACTATTTGCATTAACAAAAAGATGAAAACAACCTAAATGCCCATCAACAGAGAAACAGATCAACAAATTAAGGTACATATACACAATGGAATACTACACAATGTTAAAAAACAATGACAAATCTGTGAAAAATCTCCTAATCTGGATGAACTTAGAGTCCATTATGCTGAGTGAAGTTAGTCAATCACAAAAGGACAAATACTGGTGAGACCACTATTGTAAAAAGTCAAGAAAAAAAAAAAAATTCTTTGATGGTTACCATGCGTGGGTGGGGAAGGGAGGGTAAACCATTAACTAGAGGGTAGACACATATTAACCTGGGTGAGTGAGTGAATGAATGAATGAATGAATAAATAAATAAGCTCTCCAAATGGTTTTGATGTACAACCAGTTTCTAGAATCACTAAGTTCTAGTCAATAGACCTCTGTTCACTTAAGTTCAAAACAACAATGGAACCAGCTCCACAGGTTAGAGCCAAAACCAAGATTTCCCAGTGGTTATCCCAGCGTTTGACCACTATGCTACACTATTTCCATCCAACATGAGCCTAATACTTTTCTATGTTTGAGGCTAATCAACTTAACTAAAATGGGAAATATTGGGAGAGGAGATATCAAGAAATCATAAGAGGAATAAGAAGCGGGATTAGTATGGTATCTAGGGGGGAGTCCAGGAGAGAGGACATTTGAATTTTGCGTGACCGAGGAAAAAGTAACGGTTTGGTGGGTATGATTCATCATCTACAAATGTAATCTTCCAGGACTTTCAAACAGCACACAATTATGTATTTATAAAAGGATGATTAGCTCTAAAGAAATGACTTAAGAAAAAAAATATACCTATGTCTCACTTAGGGAACTCTCGTGGCGTAGTGCCCAAGGCATCTGACTGCTAACCAGAAGGCTGGTGGTTCAAACCCACCAGCCACTCCTCAGAAGGAAGGTCAGGCAATCTACTTCCGTAGAGATACTGCCTTGGAAACCCAAGGAGGGGTTGCCGACTTGACAGCAGTTAGTTTGGTATTTTTTGATGCCTCACTTATGGACTATCTCATTATTTGACATTTCACATTTATGACAATAGTAAAAAATCTACTATCCAACTCTATTTTGTGTGTTAACAATGTATGTCTGGATGTAACGAATGCTGAGGTGTGAGGTAAGAGTAACAGTGGCTTTAAGGTTATCTGTAGCTGGGCCATGAACGTCAGTGGTTTGGCAGCTTTGTAATGATGTAATTTGGCAGTTATGTAATGATGTAGTCATTTTGTGATCTTATGTAGGCATCCCCTATTTTTGCATAACGCTGATTTTCACACAATGACCTGATCTTTGGAACCCAAACATGTTGATACATGAGGAGTGGGTGTATTTAACAGGAATCCCCAACAATTAGGGACATTGTACAAAGATGGGAAAGAGTGGTCTCTTTTTCCCACCCTGACACATAAAGTCTCGCAGACTGCAGTTTAAAGAAATTCACCTGCACATTAAAAAATTGCCAGACACACTGGTAGGTATGTATCCCAAAGGAGTAGTTAAGGAATATCTTGCTTCAGGTTCTAGCAGTGCCCCTGACTGACTGTTTTTATTGCTTTAATTTCGTAATGATTAACACCAAAAAAAACAAGCTAAATTCACTGCCATCAAATCGAATCTGATTCACAGTAAATCTGATACACAGTAAAACAAATATGTAGTTTAAACTAAAATAGGTCTTAGAATTTAGTTTTCAGAACCTTTGGGAAGCAGGTAAAAATCACTCTTTAGGAAAAGTTAAAGATTTTTAACAAACTACTGTACAACAAAATAGATAAATTACTGTGTTCTGCTACCCCATCAGATGTAAGTGTCACCAAAAAACCACAGATAACTGGTATAATTTGGCATTGTCACATTAACATAAGATTGCCTTTGCTACTGTGGCTGAAAGTAAGGTCAAAAGATTGAAGTGTGTCATTTGATTGCTTAATTATGCAAAACAATGCATCTGCTGGGCAAACTTTCAAGACAGAATTTTAAAAGTTAAACATTATCCTGCAAAAATAGCACTTAAATAGATAATTGTATCTTCTGACTCCCTTGAGTACAATTATACTCTGTTAATTTAATTCAACAAAGTGTGGTAAACAGAGTAAAAATACATCTACAGCTTAAAATTAAACTGGTCTAGCTAAAACCTAATCACAAAAGAAAAATGTAGACTCTAACAATCCTATTAATTTTTTTGATATAACAAAAGAAAAGAAGTTTTATAACATTTATAAGTATTTAAAACACTGTTTTCATAAAGACGAGAACAAAACAGTTTCCAGGAAAATGCAATTAAAACTAATTTTTAAAAAATACATGTATTTGTATTAACTACCAGAAAGTTAATACTCTGACTCCCATCTACTCTTAGTAAGCAAAGATCAGTTCTATTAACTGTGACTTTTCTATGCTAGAAAATCTGACATCTAAACAAAAATACACATTCAACTTAACACTTGAGAATAGCTGCCAAATCACTTATTACACATGTAGAAGTATCTTGTCTTTGTTAAATCAATTTAATCTATAATTTGGGTATTCCTTTTGCTATTACAACACTGATACTATTTGAACTGTTTCTTAATAAGCAATCACTTTAGAGAAGATGAAAAGAGTCGCCAATAAATGTTGTCTTTATTTACCTTTCATAGTTAATTTTCATTTGGGAGAAGCAATAAACAAAGTAGTCACTTCTCAGGGCTATAAAAATCAGTCTGCAAAAATTGGTAATGCGATTTAAATCTCAGTTTCTAAACAGTTCTTCTTCTGCCTTATCATGGCAACTCAACCAAGTCACTTCTCATCTTCAGGACTCAACTTTCCTATAGTATACTGAGTGGGATAAAACAGCCACCCTTGCCCTCTCCTTGCTCTCCAGTCAGAAAAATTAAATCTATAAGATAAGCTCTTGGAGAGGAAACAAAAAAGCAAGCTATTTTTATGTAGACATCTTGGACCAACTTAGGGCATGGCTGACAGCTGAATCTCTAAAGACAGAAGTTTGCATCCTGCTCCCAACTACCAACTGATAATACAAAAGAGACAGAAAGAAGCTATTTAATGGTTTAACTTCCTATACGTTATCTAAGGTTTCCTAAAGTATCTTGTTAAGTACATTCCAGGAGTGATGAGATTGAAAATGTTCCTCAGTGTTTACACTCATCAACAGAGACTCATCAGGCCATGCATACTATGAGCACGCCATCTATCAAGACAGCATCTGGTTTCCACTACACTTGCCACAACACATTTGAAAACTTAGTTTTAAACAGCAACCTGATCCTGAACATATTTGATCCTCTTCTGACATTAGAACATTTAGATACACATTGGTCAGGTGAAAAGTATTTGACACTTAGGTACACTATTAGACAATTAGAAAATAATCTCAACAGGTCTTTTCATTTCCATGGAGAAGTAAAAAGTCTTCCCAAAACACGATTTTAATATTAAACTCATCCTATTAAATTAATCTGACTTAGGAATTAGAGGTTGGTCCCTTAAAATTACTAAGAACAGTAACAACAATATTCAACATAGATGGCTTTTAAATCTGTTGCTCTTAGTCAGCTGAAATAGGTCCATATAGATTCATCAGTTTACAAATGTACCCAATACGCACTTTAGTCAATTTATTATCATCTAATTTTAATGAACAGCATGTGGCTAAAATGTCATTTGATAGTGTCTGTATTTGCAATAAATTGCTCATGTACCTTAAGGCCCACAGGTAACTACTGTGTAATTCCTAAAATATTAATTTGTACATAATGGCTTATGAGGTATACAAAGGACAGAGCACATGATACCTACTTAAAGAGCTTTCTGAACAGGAAACCTGGCATTTTAAAACCTTCATCAAATTCAGCATCGCTGTCCTCAGAATTGTCTTCCAGCTTTAGATACTTCTCTTTGTCTTGCAGTCTCAGTTTATTCCATCGCCTACATGAAAATTAAAATTATGTTTCAATTATTTTGATTACAAAAAGATTAAAACACATAATTCTAGATAATGTACAAGAAAAAACAGGTGTCTTCCAGGTTGCTGCTGACATTATTAACTAAAACACTGATAGTCAAAGAAAAAAACAATTTTTCTTTTCTTCCTTTTCACTTCAATTCTTATTTGAATCATTATAGCTACTCTAGAAATACTTCTGTAAGGCCTCGTTTCATTAGCAAAACTACCTGCTTTTCTTTTGGCATACCCTAAGGGAAATTTTCCCTGCTAGTTCCTAAAATATATGAATTCAGTTCTGATTCAGTGAGTTTTTAACATAACTAAATATCTGTAAAATGACAACAGAGCATAACAAAAAACTGATTTTATTTATAATGATCATTTCTGTGACTAAGATATGACAGTCATAGCACAAAATAACTAATATTTTGGTCAAAATTGCTGTACAGCAATTCACATAGTGATTACTTAATGGGAGGACCCATAATATAAAATTAATGATAATTATATTACTTAGAAAAAAATGTTTTCAGTGAACAAGGTCTAAGTTATGCATTTAGTAATATGATATTTTTCAGGTATAAAATAAGATGAGCATTTATATTTCAGAAGACTGATACCATGTACATTTAACAGAAGAAATATCAGTAGTCTAAATACTTAGCAATAAGCCAAGATTGTTGAGAAAGTGCAGTCATTAAAGCAGAGTAATTTTCCATTCATGTAACTACAATGGACACTAGTATCAAGATTGAAAAAAAAAAAATTACAAAAGTCAATAGCCTCATTCTATTCACTTTCAAAATAAAAAGATGACTTTTTTCCAACATGCATGTATTCAACTGATACTCTAAATTTCACAAAATGGTGGACATGGAATAAAGCAATACAGCCATACCTTTTGAGATATTGTGGGTTCGGTTCCAGACCACCACAATAAAGCAAATATTGCAATAAAGTGAGTCATACGAATTTTTTTGTTTCCTAGTGAATATAAAAGTTATGTTTACACTATACTGCACTCTATTAAGTGTGCAAGAGTATTACAAAAAAGTTTGAAATATTGTGCAAATTATCAAAATGTGACAGAGACAAAAGTGAGCACATGCTGTTGGAAAAATGCTGCCAACAGACTTGCTCGAATAGGGTTGCCACAAATCTTCCAACAATTTGTAAAAAAGAAAAAAAAACAATACGCATTATCTATGGTGCCCAGCTACGAACAACCACCACGCTGAAAGGGGTAACAATAGGAGATTCTGGATAGAGTGGGAGAAAAAAAGTGGAACAAAACCATAAATCATAAAAAACAACCAGGCTTACTGGTCTGAGAGATTGGTGGAATCCTGGAGACTATGACCCTTATTTACCCTTCAAGCTGGAACTGAACTCACCCCTGTGGCTCACCTTTTAGCCAAACAATAGGTTCATGGGGTGAACAGTAACACCAGGGAGGTATGCACTCCTTAGAACAATCAACCGTGAAATCAAAAGGGCAGCATTTGCCCAGGGATAAAGCTCAGAAGGCAGGAATGGATAGGAAAGAAGGACAAGGAGAAATGGTAATCACAAGGAGGAAGAGGGAAGAATGCTGTTACACTGTGGGGACTGTGTTCGATGTCTCAAAACAAAACAGTTGAATGGAAAATCAATTTGCTCTATAAACTTTCACTCAAATCACAATAAAAAGTTAAAAGAAGAAAAAGATGGGGGGAAAAACAGCACTATCTACGAGAAACAATAAAGCAAAGTGCAATCAAGTGAGATATGCCCGTACATATAAATGCCTTCAAAATAAAAAGTTCAAAGGAGGGGAATGAGACCAGCAATTTATATAAGAAGGCATTTATCTGCCAATGACTATGCAAGAACAAGGGAATACCTGAGGGAAACCAAAGAAGAAAATGAAAGAGTAATATTGTAGAAATAAGGCATTTGACTGCTCACCAGAAGGCTGGCGGTTCAAACCCACCAGGCCACTCCTTGGAAGGAAGATTGGGCAATCTACTTCCATAGAGATACTGCTTTGGAAACCCAAGGAGGGGTCACTATGAATTGGCACTGACTCGACAGCAGTGAATTTGGGTTTTTTTGGTTTTACCCAGTTAGAGGTATAGTATATTTTCCAGTATCAATTATGAAACCAGGATTGAGGCGAAGTATGAGTGTGACAGGCAGCACTATCCAGTCAGCCAGAGAACCTTGAAGCATATTCTCCGGTCAATTGCTGCTTTGTTGGAAATATCAATTCTTCAAAGTAACGAAGAGAGGTGAGACTTAATTGTGATCAATAAGGATGAACTAGTAGATGACTACTAGTCAATTTCAGATGATTGAAATTGTATCTCAGGGTATGAAAAGAACTTACTGAAGCACTGCTGGTAATTTCCAGAGCAGAACAGCCAACGAAAGAGGCAGCAGCATATGGCAAAGTCTAAAGAAGAGCTACCATGTAAATATAAGGTTTAATATGTGATACTCTTTTTACCTAAACATTTTAATGACCTTTTCCCACTTAACTTCTAATGGCAATCTCTTCTCTCTTATTTTCATTTTTCTTCTTTGAACATTATGTCCAGGTAATTGATGAAATACAGTACCTCTTACTCACTTTTACTTAAAGCTGTCTAGTGGGCCCAATACTCCTTCCAAGGAGTGTTGGGCAATCTATTTCCATAGTGATACCACCTCAGAAACCCAAGGAGGGGTCGCTATGAGTTGGGTCTGACTTGATGGCAGTGAGTGAGAGGTACTACATTTCATCAATTACCTGGAGATAGTGTTCAAAGAAGAAAAATGAAAGTAAGAGAGAAAAAGAGTAGTACCTCTAGGTGGCTAAAAAAGTATTTGCTAATGTTCTGAGTTTCATGCTCTTCATAAATTGAGTTAAGTTTAAAGAAGGGATTCTCAACTGGGGCGATTTTGACACCCTGTCTCCAAAACAGAACACTTGACAACATCGGCAGACATTTTTGGTTGTCACATCTCCAGAGGGAAGGACATGCTACTGGCACCTAGTGGGTAGAGGTCAGGGATGCTGCTAAACATGCTACAATGCATAAAACAGTTCCCTCCCCTCCAAAGAACAATCTAGCCTCAAATGTGCCAAGGCTGAGAAATACAGCTATCCCTTACTATCGGAACAAAGAAACCAAAAAGAATGAATATACATTTTCCTGATGTATAAATCTGAATTCTTGCTACTGGCTATCTGAAATTCAGGAAGCAAGCAGTTTCAGGAAATATGGTATTATTTTTCAGTATCCAAATTCTAACTACTAGAACCCAGAACAAAACAGATCTGCACAATGAAGGGTATTTGTTTTCAGCAGATAGCAGGAAACTCAAAGAAAAACAAAAACTATCAAGCTACTTAAAAATACTTCATTTGTGATCACTCAAAGATAATTTTCCAGGGGGAAAAAAATACCAGGATATTGGAGGTTAGGAGGCTGGCATAAAAAAGTCATTAAATATTTTACATACTAAAAAATCATATATTAAACTTCATTTATAGATGATAGCTATTGCCTTAAACTCAGCCAGCAAATCTTTGTGGCTGTTAAATTTCCCAACACATCACTCTGCATCAACAAGGTTTCAACTACCTCCTTCCCTTTACCCTCCCTCCTAAAATACACCAGCTTTGTATTGTCCACAGAACCCAGCACCTAGGAAACCACATAAGCCACTACAATAATTATTACATTCCAGACCCCTTCCGCTCCTTAAAGAAAGATGAAAAGAACCAAACATTTATTTAGCTTAGCTAAAAGATGACTAAAGGTGGTAGGGAAAAATCATTATTGTCTGTAAGTATTTGAATTACTGTGAAGACAAATCACCCAAGTAGAATCATATACACATATTAAAGATAGAAAACATCATGGTTATAAAACCACACACATATGTGGCTCAGGCTAAAAGAGATTCTTCTGGCGCAGAAAGCAATAATTCCTCAAGTGGCTTGTGGCCAAAATATACCTGCTTATCTCAATACTGCCCGCAGAGAAGTGGTTTAGCACAAAGGCGTTGGTCAATAAAAATACAACATGGCACATTAGGGAGCTCAAGGAGAGTCACGTTCACCTGCTGTGGTGGTTGTTTGTGTGTCAACTTGGCTGGGCAGCTGGTGGTAGTCATGCCCTATGATGAGACTGGCAATCAGCTCCATGGTGGGATCTACCACAAGCAGCTGAATAGCTGTCTTTGGGATGTGGTCTGCTTCCTGTATATGAGAAGAAGCCTTGGGGATGGTAGCTAGCTTATGGCACGCTTGGACTCTACGTGGACAAGTCGTTGTTCAGCAGCCTGCCATACTCTGCCAACCTTGGGACTTACAATGCACTTGAATTAATGGCCTGCTATGTGGTTTGGTAACATTGGGACTGTGCCATTTTATTTGTCGACCTTGGGCTTGTTAGCTCAGCAGCCAGTAGCTGCCTGAGTAAAGAGATACCTCTATCTCCAGCAGGCTGGGAGCAAAAGGCAGAGCTGAAGCCCAAGGCTGAGGGGCTTTCCCACAGCCCCTAGAGCCTGGCACTTTGAACCTGGACTTCTAGCCTCCCGAACTGTAAGAGAATAAACTCCTATTTGTTAAGGCCATCCCATTTGTGGTATATTCTTGTCAGAGAGGCACCAGGTAACTGGAACACCTGCATACTGGAAGAAACCATGCTTTCCTCATCCTAGACTCAATCAGAGACTTTAAAAGTACTCTTTAAAATGCATACAGGTTTGCCCTATGACAAGGCAGGCTGAGCAATCTGTCCCACCAACAGATGTAAAGGGAGATTATTGGGATAGATGTAAACTGGGTTTGACACGTACTTTGTAAAGACAAGTCAAAGCATAGCACCTGGGCTCAGACAGTGGCGTCAAACCTGATTGCCAGTTAGGAGCTCTTTAACCCCCAGCAAGAACATGACGTCTTTAGTGCCTCAGTTTCCTCAACTATAAGGTAAGAGGCAACAGCACCGAC